ATTTGTTTGTTTAATCAGGACAGTGCACATTAATGAACAATTTTATACTTCTGTACAGATTGTAAATGAGCCAGATAATAGCATAGTTGCTAATTTACATCTGTCGTCCTGAGGCAGGAAGACAAAACACTAGATCACAAAATACAATATCAGTCAAGACACATAGACACACGTTCAGACAACGACATTACAACAATAAAATGAGTGAGTGCATGACTGGGAACTTTTTAAAAAAATGTGCAATAAGTGGGACATTCCCCGATGTTTGTTGGGAGGCTGTTCCAGGTCTACCAGGTCTAATGTAGGTAGAAAGTGGAGGTACGGCATAATTACATTTATAAATAAATTGAACATATTATATTTTTCCAAAATATTACACTTAAGATGGAAGACACAGTTTCTGTATTTACCTTCTGAAACATAAGTAACGTGGAGCGTGTACATGGGGTGAACCCAGGGCTTCAGCAGGGCTGTCTAAGCTCTGCTCATCCAGCCGGTCAGCACAGGAATTCCAGGAATGAGCTCAAACCGTGAAGTTTGAACGTGTGTTCGGGTTCACGCAGGGCGGCCAGGCCTCTGCCCCTCGGCACAGATGGAGTGGAGTCTTTTAACCTTGTCTCTCATCACATCTAAATGTGTGTAGTCATGATCAGTCTGCTTTATCAGAGCCGAGCCATCAGAGGGAGGAGAGAACTCACAGGCCAACGGCTCCTCTGATCCTTTCACATCTTAATCCTTTATAATTGTTCTTGTATCACCATCTGACAGCAGCATTAACACCAGAGGTGTGTGTGTGTGTCTGTGTCTGTATCTGTGTGTGTGAGCGAGTCCTCTCCTCCTCTCTGCAGTGTGAGGATTTCCTTTTTCCACCCCGGTCACATGACTGCAGACATGGGTGTGGTCTCCTGCATTCCTGCCGTCTCTTTGCTTTGCTCCCCTCACTGTGTGACTCCCTGCGACACTCTCTCTCTCTCTCTCTTTCACGCACACACATGTTGGTCTAGACCAATCACACGGCTCCGTTCTGACGTTCTGTTTGATGTGGAAACATGTGAATGAAGCCACGGAGACACGCTGGATGCAACAGGGAAAAAACTTTCTTTGTGTGTGTGTTAAGGGTGTGACCGGCTTTGAGTTTGCATGGTGGAGCAGTGTGTGTGTGTGTATGTGTGTGTGTGTCTGTGTGTGTGTGTGTGTGTCTAAGGAGGGTGGTGCAGGCTGCTGCGTTAGTATGCAGAGCAGGTGTGTCTGCAGAGGCAGAGATGGAGGAAGAGGAGGGAGGACTCCGGTCGATGATATGGCGGACGGACGCTGCCGAAGACGGAGCAGGAATCCGTTTCCTGATCTCTGCTCGGTGTGTGGACGGCCATGTTTGTCTCTCTGAGTAAGAGGCAGGAACGTCCTCCGGGATGGCTCCATGTTGCTTTAGCCGGTTCAACAGATGACCGGCCTCCCCTGCCCCCCCCTCTTCCTCCTCTCAGTTGCACACTCTCCCACAACCCCCCCACTGTTTGTTGCCATATTACCAACTTTATGGCTTAAATGTTTGTGAAAGCCCTCAAAGAGACAAATACGGCCAGTTTGTGCTGACACATCGTGGCTGCTGTTCACTTTAAGCCACATCGAGTCTGAGCGCTCTGTTTACGTCTGGACTGTTTCTCCTGTGGAGCCAAAGGACTCCAGCCTCTCTGTGCTGGAGGGGAGGAGAGCCAACACCTGCTGGCCTCTGGCTGATGAGAGCCATTACTCAGCACTCTGGACTCATTTTCTCATCTCGTACTCGTCATTGTGCAAACTCAGGACTGTTTACGATGACGGCTTAAACGCGTCATCTGTATCAGGAAGTGTAATCTGAACATGTGGATAAAAGAGATCCCCTAGATTCTCCATGTTTTAGCTGAGCAACAAGCACAGATGGAAGTTAACAGTTGTGAAACAGCCTTTGTTTTGCCTGCATGTTCTTAGCTAAAGCCTTGAAACTAGTATGGGACTAGTATGTTTTGAGGCATAGTAAATGATATCTGATTTAGTTGAGATATAAGTACATTTTTACCATCTATTTAACAACCATGAAAGCAGCTGAGCTCTAAATTCTCGGCCTCAAACTGGACTTCTTTTCCGATTCAGTGATTTTGGACGTTTTGACCCGTCAACAGAAATGTGTAAAACGTCTGCAAGTGCTGCAAAATGTTGGACGCTGTTGAGTCGTCGTGCTCACCGGCTTTAGTTAAAGCACCTGTGCTGCTCTTAATGAGGCACATCATTCCTCTGTTTGCCTGCCAAAGGGCAGATCCATATTGAGTTTCAGCGTGTTTAACTCTTACTTTCTGTTCAGTGTCAATACACAATCTGATCCTTTGCTCCGTCGCACTTGTTAGCTTACAGCTACCCAAAGACACCAAAGAAATTTCAAACATCTCCCTGTTCGGAGGATTGTGGAGACTGTTTCACAAAATGTAACGGATCAGTGAACCAACAAGCAGCTCGCACTGCCTGACTTTGTCTGCAGGGTAATTTAACTCAGATTCTTAGGAGCATCTGTCCATCATCCACTTACTCATGCTGCTGCTCTCGGTTAGACTTTCGCTTTCCTTTCAGTCGGAAAACGACACCTTCCTCTAATGTTGTCTGAAAGCATTTATGTCAGTGTCTTGCATGACTAGTTGGCTGTGATGAAGCGGTTCCCTGCAGATGTGCCGTCCTGATGTGTGACTGGAGCACAACTCATGAGCTCGTTGTCCTCACAAAGGCCGCCGTTCACTGAAATGAGACGCCCTGATCAGCTTTCAGGACTCATCCATATCAGTGAGGCTTTATGCCATTGTGAGTCATTTTGTGTTTTCTTTCAAACACAAACAAACACTTCTGGGTCTGAATGGTTTAGTTCTTCCAGCTTCGGCAGCAGTGATTCATCCGTCTTTATTCTGAGCCCCTAAATTCGCTGCTAAAATAAACTCCAGCTGAATAGTTCAGCAGTTTTCACTGACAGTTGCCTTTGTTGCTTTTAAGGTGGACATTACTCTGCCAATCAGAGCCGAGCTGAGCAGAGAGCGACGCTCCGCAGACTCAGTCGGTGATTCAGAGCCGTTGGTGCTCGTGATCCCTCTCAAACACTCACTCACCCTTTGTCTCTTAAACGCCTAACGCCCGACTCATGTAAGCTGTTCGGTGTCATGGAAATTTAGATTTCTACACCCCGTTCATCCGAGAAGGCGGCTTACGCTGCATGTAAGGGTCAGGTAGAAGCTTTAAATATGATTTAAATATAATAGCCTGATAGTCGACTGATGGGTAATACAGTGCATGTGTGAGAAGGTGTGTCATTGTGGTCTAAAGACAGGAATGCCTACCTTTGGACTGGGATGGGCGCGGTGGTGGAGTCTAACAAGGCGTGAGTGTATGTGTGTGTGTGTGTGTGTGTGTGGGGAAGCATTATACCTGTGTAAGGCCCTGAATCTGTGGCCTTTGTTCTCATTTGGTAAATGTGATAGTCATCACATTTTTAGACAGATTTCTATCTTTCGTAGGAAATCCTACACACGATATACAGGGCGGCTTTACAACTTTTGTTATATTTCGAATACTGGGCCTCAGTAAACTAACATTCTACAAAAATCGCAGTAAAAGATTCAATGGGCAAAACAAAAGACCAGAGAGACAAAAGACAAACTTTAACAGTGATGGTCAACCCTCCCCACAATGATGCCGCAAGCCCTGGGTTCAGTCTATTTCCTGGATCTGTGGAAACAAGCGTTTGAATCGGTGGTTAGATTCGTGTCGGGATGAGTTCCTCTGAATGATTCATTTAAGGTACAGGATTATTTTTGGATCAGCATCTGAATACGACGTGTCAGAGGTCACAAAGTGTTTCTGTCTGAGGTTCATCCACCTGTCAGACACTGAGTTGGGCCACTTCTGAAAGGGCTCAGAGGACACCCATGAAAGCACTGGACTGAGTTTGGTTCCTCCCAGAACGAACTGCCCCGCTGGGACTTCAGTTCTTTATGTGCAGGGATGACGCTCCGTCTGGAGCCACGTTCTGCTGAAGCTGAGCAGAGCTCTGAGTCCTCCAACTGGAAGTGTGTCCATCGCAGGGGCACTAATCCGTAAAAAGTGGGGGATGCTCTTTGATGTGCGCTTCCATGATGTCTGGTGACGGGTGGGAATGTTACAGCTGGGCCACGCGTTCCCTTTTCCACTCTCACTGGAGCACTTTCATCTCGTTGGTCCTCAGCTGGAAGCTGATCTCTGGCTCCAAGATCGGGAAGGAGTGATATCTTATATGCACAGATAGCTGTACAGCCCTCTCGGTCTGATTAATGCGTCTAACTTAACGATTAGAGTTGACGTCTTTGATCCTTTTCGAGGTTTAAAGTGGAAGTTTCTTCCTTCTTATCACCCCATACTACACCTACTCACCAAGCCAGTCTTAGTGTCCCTGTTTCTTATCACTAAATCTGACTGCAGAGATGCCGTTAACTGTGATGGTTGATGTTGTGGAACGACAGCGATCCTGTTTTCTGTTGTGCTGTTTTAACTCCATAATCATAAACCGACAGCAGATGGTTACGGGAGATCAGACATCCATAATGAGTCTCAGAGGAGCGACCAGACCTGCTAATGAGTTCATCACTGAGACCTGAACTCCGGTTCAGGGCACTGGGAGTAGAAACGCTTCACTCTGACCAGTTAGTTTGTTGGAGTGAAAAGTCAAAGGTTGCCCTGAACTGCTTTCTTTCCTGATTTTGGTGTCTAAAAAACCTTCTTTCTTTTTCCCGTTTAGTGTGAAGCCGCCAGAACATGTTTACAGCCTTGTTTCCATGGTGATGAAAAACAGCCTGCTCGTCCAGGCCGGGATTTAACCTCAGCGTCTGTCTCCTCCACCTGCCTCCTGTGAGAACTACACTACCCACAATCCCTGTGAACTACACCACAAACACAACTCCTAACGCTCGGACAAAGACGCTCGGTGGAACCGCGCCGCTGTGAGGAGCACCAGCATGGCCAACAACACGGCGGACCACCCTCCGGGGAACTCGGTGGCAGAGGGAAACCACGATGGGGACTTTGGCATGACCGTGGAGGACCTCAGGGACCTCATGGAGCTGCGGAGCGGCGAGGCCGTCGCCAAGATCCGGGAAGAATACGGAGACGTGCAGGGCATCTGCCGCCGTCTGAAAACGTCCCCGATAGAAGGTAAGACCCAGACTGACTCAGACCCAGCTCACTCAGAAAGCTTTGATTCTGAAGTTTCAACCCTCTGATGCCACCAACACAATGATTGGATGCTTTCTAGAGTTCAGCTGGTGGCCTCTGGCCAAAGCGTACTCTGTACTTTATTCAGAAATAAGCAGCTGGGGGTCGTAACACAGACCTGTGTTCAGATCCGTTAGCGGTGGGAGCTCTGAACAGATGCTGCTCCGGTTATTGGTGTGGGCCGCAACCTTCGTGGTTTATGACTGAGTGTCAGATTCAGGAACATTAGCAGTCAGTCAACAGCAGGCGACACCCTGCCCGCCCCCCCCCCCCCCCCGCTGCTCGGGCCCTAGGAGCCAGATATGCTGCTCCCGTCTGGATGCAGGCAGCACTTCATTTTCAACATTTGGCGCATTGGTGGTATTTTAAAATGGAGCCAGGAAGGAGCCGCGCGCTCTGGCTGTGCAGGTGGTTCTGATGCAGCCGGCCGCTCCACAGGTGGACTCACGGAAACCTGCCGGCCACAAACTGACCGAGGCCTCGGAGAAGAAGTCATAGTAACGAACAGATGGCTGGGTTAGGTCTCAGAGTCCACAAGAAAATGGCCGACATGCCACTGTTTATTTCCCCTTACGTCTCTCATCCTTTTGATCCCTCTGTTTGAATGTGTGTGTTTTCTGAGTGTGTGTGTGATTGTGAGTGTGTGTGTGTGTGTGTGTGTGTGTGTTTGTGTGTGAGTGAGAGTGTGTGTTTGTTGCCATCAGTCCATTCCAGGATTGAAAATTAGTTCCAGCCCGTTCCCCTAATGGCTCCATAGATCATTACCTTGTTCCATTTAGTAATCAGACGACATTTGTAGTCGCCTCCCCACGTTAGAAATTACTCACTCTAATGAAGGAAGTGTAATTATATTTTAACTGCGGATGGAGCTGGGGAAGGAAGGGGGGGTGGGGGTATTATATTATCAGAACATAATATCGAGGGCAAATGCTCCCAAAATTAAACTGTCAGTTTGTCAAGTTTCAGTCCAGATGAAATGGGCTAGAAAGACACTACCACTGATATAACTCTCTTAAGTTAAGTTAGCTTAATGTAACTCTGGACATCACCAGATTTGGGTCGGAGGGTGGAGCTGGTAGCTGGTACTGGACAGTAAAGATGTGCTTTAACATTGCTGTAACACCGGATGATGATACTCAGATGGAGGCTGGCTCCAGAAACCCCCCCTGGAAAGATTAACCAGATGTTGGGGGAGATGGGTGCGGCCTTAGTGGGTATCTCAGGTGATGCCGAATGGCCAAAGAAACCATCATGAGACTTTTTGACCTGCAGAAAAAACTATTGAACGGATCCCAGGTCTGTTCACATTTTACTAAATGATAGAAAAAAGTATTTAAAGAGTTTAGGTCAAACCTGTCCACATAAAAATGGGAATACCCCTCAGAGATCCCTGTCAAGCCACAACCCATAATGTAAGTGTTCACTCCTGGGGGGCCACTGGAGCTGGGAGCTGTTTTCTTAGCTTGGACATACGACATAAGTCTTCAAAAAGCCGCTTTAAATGCATTGGACGGCTTTCAGTGTCGGTGTTCAGCCAGAAAATATTGCTGTGTGGCTCTGCTGCAGGATTGAAATACTCAGAGGGGGACGCCCCCCCCCCCCACTAAAGCCTGACAAAGTTAATATACAGCCCCCTGAATGAATAGGTCTGTCAGAGCTGTGTGGCCACGCCAGGATGATTCCTGAGTATTTAATTAGCCTGATTAATTTATCCCTTTTTATCTATTCGCTTTGGTTTATGTTCAGTCTTATGGAGCCAAATCTGCCTCTAAGGGAACATGAAGGATTGTTTTTGGCTCCTGCTGTTTAGCATATCGCGGCACAAAGGCCAAAAACATTTCAAAGCTGAACGCTACTTCACATCCAGGTAGGAATGTTGAGACCTCTGGGCCAGAACTGGCTGGGGGAGGAGGAGACTGAGATGAGCAGTCCGGGTTGACTGTAGTTTCCTGTTGTTTACTTGGTTTACTTGGGGAGGTGGGCCTGTTAGCCATGTAGCTTTAAGGAGCCCCGCCCCATAAAACAACAGATTGATAAGTAGACTGGCAGTTTTTAGTTCTAAGGGCAATTCCTATTATTATCCATCTTTCTTTAGCGTGTGTCCTTCTCTGGACAGCCCGATACTTCCTGATGTTTTCAGTTCACTAATCAGTGTGTGATCAAACCTCGCCGAGCACATGAAAGCTGCAGCTCTACAAACGCTCCTTATCGGGATTTATCATCATCATGATCAAGACAGAAAGCTTCTGAGCTAGTGGAGAATTTACATACAATCTGCCTTTTATAAAAAGCTTCAAAAGATACACACACGGAGGCCTAAAAATAAGGCGCTATTTTCGGAGAATTGCAGTCAACGGCAGATGTGGTGTCGCTGCTCAGGTGAGAGAAAGATGGAGCTGCTTTCATCTCCTCGTGTGCAAAGCTGGAGCTGACAGAAGTTCATTAAACACGATCTGCCAGCCGCCGATGATGCGGCGCCATCGGAGATTCATCTCAGCTGGAATTCAGGTTACAGTCAGGAAATGGAGAGAAAGCCGGCAGAGATGC